TGTGGCAATTACCAGATCATTTTTAACTTCTGTAAGAGATAGCAAGTGAATGTTCTTGCATACAGCCAAAAGGTTTTCCTTGCTGCTTATCTTCCCCGAGGCCAACAGAAGCAACAGTTCTTCTAAGCACCCATTTTCCCTGAAAGCATCCTGTCCCCAGCAGGGCTGACCTGCATGGGTCAGCTGGGCCCTCCCGTGACCACATGCCTCATCTGCAGCACCAGACTCAGTCTTTGGGTCCAGCCCAAATGACATCAGGGAGTAAATGACCAGTGCACAGAGAAGGACAGCCCTTGCCCTCAGCTCTGGGCCTTCCTTCATCACTGGGGCAGTGCCATGGGGTGGCCAGGAGCACTATTTCCCCTGCACTGCTCCAGGAATAGGTGTGTGACAGTAAAATGGGTAAAGGTGTTTGATCCAGAGCCGGAAAGAGGACTTCAGAGCAGTGTCAGGATTGTGCTGAGGATAAATAAGCAACGTTTGGACTGGAGTCAAGGACAGCCATGTGGTTTCATCTCCTGTCCATGCCTAGATGTGCTGGAGAAATGCAGACTGCTCAGTAGTGCAGCAGGTCACCGCTGTGCTATGTGCCTTGCCACAGGACTGGGATCTTTAGGGAGCTGGATAGAGAGGGTGATGAGAGGATTCAACCCTTTGTGAGCCCCGTCTGCTATTTTGGAACTTCTGACCTGGTGATTCCTGCCTTGTTTGTCTCTGATGAAAAGCACACGTGGCCCTGAGAAAGCCTCAGACTTGTTTGTGTTAGACATGGCTTTATCACCGGGACCTTTGCTTTCCCGCAGCCGAGGGCACTGTGAGCCCCTGCAGCAGTCAGGCTTGGCCAGAATGCTCAGATTCCGTATGGAATACAAAAGCATTTGCCAATCAATGGCCATAAGCTCATTTCAGAGGTGTTTGTGGTCCTTGTTGGAGCACCTAGAGAGGAAACACCGGTTGCCCTGAACGCTGATGGCAATAGAAGTGCTCACACAAAGACATGAGCAGAAGTAAAGTACAATCATCCCAAGTATGTGGGGAGTTTGGGTTGGATGGCCTCACTGGGAGCATCTCCAGAACCTCAGCGAGCAGCTTCCATGGCAGCTGGGCCAACCAAAGCAATTGGAGCACAGCGAGGAAGAAAAAAGAGCAACTTGGGAGTTGTTACTGAGGAAAAGATGAACCTCACCAGGAGGTTCAAAAATGTAGAAGATGGGAAGACAGCAGCCTGTGGTTTTTGCATTCTCCTGCTGGTCGTTGCTCCGGGGCAGACACTTGGGCATGGGCTGCATTCAGTGCACACATATCAGCCCTTCCTGTTCCCTCCCTGCCTTCCTCCCTTTCATCTACACAGCTTATCTTTACTTTGTGTTCTGGTGCCTTGCAGCGGGTCTGTCGTTATCGCCCTGTCCGCTTCTGCCCTCTGTGATGCTGCTCAGCAGGGATTGCTGTCTGTGGGGCTTTCTTTGTGCCCCTTCGGCCTGATACAGTGCACAGCCCACTCATCCCACGCTCAGGGACTCTGCATGGAGGCATCAAGCAGGGATAGGGATAAAAATCAGGTATTTTCGTGCCTAAGTGCTGTCCATTCATTGCTCCCCTTTCACTGGTTATTCCCATCCTCATGCATGTTGCAAATAGCTCAATGCCACGAAAACCTGGGCCTCAGGAGCTTGTCTGCAAGCCTTCAGAATGTGTTGTGTGTGATCTCAAGGTGAAGGAGAGGGATGAGTTCAGTAGCATGCTAACACCTCCATGGCGGGGGTATTGCATCCATCGCACAGCAGCCCTAGAAAAATCCTGCTCTGTGCAAGGCCCAGTGCTTGCAATGGCATCATTCTGCATTTCTGTTCAGGAGGGAACTGTTTGCATTTGAAAAAGGCCAGTGGTAAATCAAGGGGAGAAATTGGTAGAAGCACAAAATCGTTAAGGTTGGAAAAGACATCTCCAAATGGGAAATGAGGGCTCCTCAGAGACAGCCGTGCTGTGGGAGCTGCTGCGTCCGCCCTCACCACGGCTCAGGCCGGGTTTTGCTTTCATCAGGAAATAAAAACGCTGCAGAAATAGAGATTAAGATGAAAAGCTTCAGCCCTGCTGGAAGAGAGCGGGCTGACAGCACCCGGCTGCTTCTCCCAAAGCTGTTGGGGTGGGCAGGGGATGCACATCCCCACCGCAGGCCCTGCCTCCCCGTGTCCCTCTGAGGGTCTTTTAGCACATCCTATTGCCTTGTCAGATCAGTTTCCCAGCTGGGATGCAGACCCAAACGGGCACTGCTTCCCGTCCTTCCTATTTTAGTTTCCTGAAAAGAACTTATTTAGGCAGAAATCTGTACATTGCCTACCTACCAAAACAGGGTTCCAGCCGCTATCGGAAGGTGAACGTAAGGGTTCCTAACTCAGTATTCGTGTTTTATTATAAGAAATCCACAGAGATATTTATAGCTCTCCCCAGGGCCGCTCCACCCGCCGTTGGGAAGCGCCCATAATCCCATTTGCGGCGTTCGGGAGCCGCAGCGTCACGGTGCCAGCTGGGATCGCAGCCCCGGGGCTTTATTCTCCCAATCTGCTGCGCGGGGCGGCAGCGCGGGGCCGGATTGCAGCAAATCCCCCCCCGCAGCCCCAAACCCAGCCTGCTGGCCACCCCACCGCGTGCCGCGCTCCGGGCACAGCATGGACTCAGGTTAAGCCCGGCGGGGCAGATTAGTGAGGTCAGCAGCAAAACGCCCGGGCTGGAGCTGTGAGCGACGCAGCGCTTCAAGGGCGACGCGTGGGTCTGCGTAATGCCCCGAAATGCTGCATCCATGGGCTGCCAGCGCTCCCGGGGCCGTCAGCTGTGTCACTGCTGTCTAAATATAGAGCAGCCGGGTTGTCTCCGCGCTGCCTGTGCCATGGGATCGCCGGGCGCAGGGATCCGGGGTTGGTTCGCTCTCGCTCCGGGAAGGCTATGACTAAGGAATCTGCTGGGGAAGGGTTGGCAGAAGATGGAGGGCCTCGGCAGAGAGCAGGAGCTGATAGGAGCCTGGAGCTCGCAGACCCGGAGACCTGACCAAAACAACCCTCCTCCTCCTCCTCCTCCTCCTCCTTCCCCTGCTGCTCTCCCCTCACCAATACCCAAACGAAGGCTGCAGCAATGCCGGCCACCAAAGCACCAGGAAAGCGGGGTTCTGTTCCCACAGCAGGCTGCCTGCCCCGGAGCGCTAAAGCAAGTGGAACCCTACTCAAATCACCCTTTTATTTTCTCCCCGGGCTTTTTTGCTAAAGGGAATGCAGCGCAGCGAGGCTCAGTGCTGAAGGTCAGCCCGGCGGCGGAGCCGGGCCCCACGCACCCCGCGCACCTCGCTGCGGAGAACGGGCAGCTGAACCCGGGCGCTCCCAGCTCTGATCTGTAACCCTAAAAATCGATCTCTTTCCTATGGGGGGAAGGCACCGCGCTCCGATGGCTCCCGCAGCGCCGAGCTGGGGTCGGGGTGCCCGAGGAGATGCCAACGCGGGATGCGGGATGTGGGATGCGAGACGCTGCCGACCCCGCGGCTCCGCACAGCCCCGAGTCCCGCTCAGCCCCGCTCCGGGTGGGGGGGATTCCCGCAGACCCCCCAGGCGCCGCCCCCGCCCCCCACGCTCTGCTCACCTGGGCCCCCGGCCGGCTCCATCATCCCCCCGCCCGGTGGGGCCCCGCACGGACGGACGGACAGACGGGGCGGCGGCAGCGATCTGGGAGGGTGCAGACAGAGGGTGCGGGCGGGCGGAACTCGGCTCCCAAAATGCGGCACGGAGCGGGATCCGGAGTCAGCGGCGGGCGGGAGCGAGTGGGAACTTCGTGCGTTTTCCTTTTTTTTTTTTTGCTTCGTTGTTTTTTTCCCCCTGACTTTGTTATGTTCCTGGCTCGGCACCGAGCCGCACGCCAAACCCTGCGGAGCGGCTGCGGAGCGGCTGCGTCGGTCACCGGTGCGATCCCAGTGAGGTTGTAGGAGCAATGCGCAGGGATTGGGGCCGCCGGGGAGGTGGGCAGCAGGTGATGCCGCACACACAGCTGCTGCCTGCCCCCAGCCTGGGCTGCCGACACACGCCACGGTACAGAAAGGTGGGAATTTTAATGACTTCAGTGTTTTGAAGCTCAAAGAAACACCTAGCAGCAATCTGCTTGCAGATCTTCGGGGATGCCCAGGCTGCTTTGCCCTCCATGGACCCACGAGAAAACAGAGCAATACATTATGGGGCAGTGTCACATCATGGGGTAGCGTCGCTTTATGGGGCAGTGTCACCAACTGAACCCTGGAGTCTGGGAGAGACCAGGGCTGCTGGCTGATAATTAAAAAGAACCAACCATCAGATCTGCAGCGATTTCTCTGGGCACCTTCAGCTTTTAATTCCCTCTGCCCAAACCCACGTGATGGATTACTGGGGGCACTGGAGCAAGCTGTGTGTGTTGCAGTGCCTCATGATCTGCCTTGTTTCTGCTGGGGGAAGTTAAACAGGAAAGCCAGAACCTCTCCATGCACAATGAGGACAGGAGAGGAACATCCGGCTTCGCCCACAGCATCTCACAGCTGCCTGGGTTAGCTCTGTTAATTTTGGATTTTATCAAATGAAGGTTGGATATTAGGGGATATCTCCTCTCCAAAGAGCCGCTCAGCACTGCACAGCTGCCCACGGGTGTTCAGAGCCATGGGGATGTGGCACTGAGGGACGTGGGCAGTAGGCATGGGGGAGCACAGAAGGCTTCTCCAGCCTGAATGGTTCTGTGAAGGGAGCTGGCTGCAGGACGGGACTCAAACAGCAGCATCACGTACAAACCAGAAGCCACATGGGGGAGATTTCCTCCAGTTTGAGTGTGGGTACTGTAGATCCTCTCCTTCCCTCCCATCCTCCTTGTGCCCACTGGTGCCAGTCTCCCACAGACAAACCCACGGACAAACCCTGGGTCACACAGGACCCATTACTGCCTCGGTGCGGGGGAAGGTTAGGCGGCCACAGGGCAAAACTCACAAACAGACACCACCAAGCTGGAGATAAGCAGGAGAAAAAATTTATTTACATCTTCCAAGCGGCAGAACAGCAATGGAGATTCCCCGGGAGAAAACTCAAGGAGCAAAACTCAGTGTCACATCCTGGGACGTGGGCACCAGCCGCCCTTTGGTCCCTACAGTGCGGCTGTGGGAAGCGCGAGATTCACAGCACAGGGGCAGAGGAGAGCGAGGGCTGCGCTGCCTGGTGGGACAACCCGGGGTTTGGTCCGCCAAAGTGCAAAGTACAACTCTTACAGAAAAACCTGTCCTGAGGGCTGCAGGGATGCGTGGCCACGAGGTTCTGCATCTATGGGAGAGCTCAGAGCCTCTGAAACAAGCGCTCTCGTGCCAGAGATGCTACTGCAGGGGATCGTGATGGATTCTGGCTGTTATCAGGAGAAAGCGAGGGCAAAGCTGTCCCCAGCCGAGCCAGAGACAAGCAGAGCTGCTGGTGGCATTGAGGTGGAGGTGGCTCACAGAAGTGCCCCCAGGGCCAAAGAAAGAAAAAAGTCCTAAAAGAATATTTCCCTAAAAAGTTGGTCCGCCCTGCCCTGCTGCAGAGCTGCTCCCCAAGCAAAAACACAGTGACATTTCAGCAACAGGAACTTGCCCAGGCTGCTCGAATTGATTGCACGGGTGGAGGGCAGTGACAGCTTCTCTGCATGCCTGCCTGTGGGCTGGCAGACTGCAGCAAGCAGCTCGGCAAAGCGTTCTCCAAAGCAGATGCTAAAATTTCAGCTTTATTTTTTAAACTTTAAAAAATACACACCTTGCTTTCTTTTTTTTTTTCTTAAATATAGAGTCTATAAAATAAGGCAACTGGAGGAGACCAGGGGATCGTCCCCATAGACCCAGTGGCTGTGCCCAGAGCTCCTGCATGCAGGGGTGGGAACAGCACCAGCACGGCCCTTATCTTGTTTGCAAACCAATTGCTGGGCAGCAGGAGCATGCTAATGCTGCTTCAGACAGATGCACGCTCACACACAACACTGCTGAAAGGAGTGTGGTCACTTTGACAGCCCTCATGGACATAAGGGACAGACAGCAGGACTGTGGCACTGCCAGAGCCTGCAACCACTGCAGGTGAACCCCTCACAGGAGGCACATCCTTGGGACAGCCCCTTTCCAGTGGGACAAAGGCAGCAGAGAACAAGGAATGACTCTGTTTCTCACCAAAACACATCTGAAATCTTTGGGAGAAGCTACTGAAACGGGGCTGTATCTCGTGGCATGGAAAGCTACGGACAAGGTAAACACAAACCAGAGCCTGCTCACCTTCCTGCTCCACATCACACCAGCTCGTAGCAGCTTTTTCTACTGTTTTCTTCATCTCTCCTGATGGGAAAAGCACAAGTAGGTAATTCTACCTCCTGTGTTTCCCCTCTTCTATGTCTACTGTTACCAGAAATGTGATCTTGATGTTTCTGAGCTCTAGTGTGAATGTTTTCTGTGTTCTTCACCAATTCCCACCCGGCTGAAGTCTTGCACTTTAGAACTTTACTTCTCTAAGAAATAAATTTAATAGAAAATATTTTTTTTTTTTTAAAGACAACAAGAGAGAGACCTGTGTTAAACAGTACTACAGGGCAATGGAACGGCACATTATAGGCTTAGAGGCTGGTGTTTCATACGGGGGTGGCAGGGAGATCATGGCAAGTTGTGTAAACCTGAAAGAATCATGACCTAGGTTTGCACCATTGATCTGTGTGGTTGGATCACAGGCAGGAATATTTTCTAGCCTCGAAGAAATAACACTTATTCTAGCAGACTTGACCTTGTAAGCATAGATCTTTTCACCTGGATACTGGTTATAACCGTGTTTCCACAGCTGTTATCCAGCACACCTGGCGATGGTACTGCATGATTGCCTAATTTGAGCACAGCTCCAGCACCGTGCAGAGAAACCAAGCAGTCATCACACCAGCTCCTGGTCCCCGGCCCAAGCTGCTTAGTGCTCCTCTTCTGAGCGCAGGGGTGGGATCTTGTTGGACAGCAGAGCATACACATATGGCCAGATCTTGTTGGTCTCTGTCCCCGAAAATGAGTGCAGGATACCCCTGCTCCTGAAGAGAGTCAAGCAGTTAGTGCCAAGAGGGTGAGGACAAAACATTTCTCAGCTCCAAAATAACCGGTGTGGACTGCAGGGCCAGATCCTGCAGTGTGATCATCTACTTACAGCACACCCACCCCAGCCTGCCCTGGAGCATCGGCGCAGCAACGCACAGCTCAAAATGGCAACAGCTCTGAGCTTTAGAGACATGCAGCTACTGAGATGCTTACATCAAAGCATCCCTGTGTCCGCATGCAGGGGGCTAGAAGACACCTCTCATTTCCCCTCAGGTGTATGCACTCATGATCTATGTGCTTTCTACCACCCTTTGCCCTTGTTTCCTCTGCCTTGTTGCCAATTGCCCAGTACTTCATTAAAAAGCCAAGCCCAGGAGCCTTGGACTGTTTTTTTTGCAAGGCAAACATACCATTCCAGACCTGCACAGCACAGTGGATTATTTAACAAACGCATTCACTGATGCTATTTGAAGCAGCACAAAAAGCTGCTACTGGTTTGGTGAGTGAACCACCCTGAAGGGCACCACCTCCATGGTCCTGGGTGTGCTGCACAGCCATCTGCCCGCAGAATGCAGCAGGGCTGTGCCTTATTCACATGGTTGAACTCACTTGTATAACTCTATCACTGGCTTTGCAGCATCTTTGTACTTTCTGAGCCGGGACGTGACGGCCTCAGGTTTATCATCCTCACGCTGGACCAGTGGCTCGCCCGTCACGTCATCAATGCCCTGCAGAAAGGCAAATGCTGTCAAGAGCATTTTCATTGAGCACTCAGCACAAACCTCATTTATCAAAAGGCACTGCGCAGAACTCTGCAGGACAGCTTTCAAGGCCAAAGCCATCTGGTGCCCCAATATCCCTGGGTCTTCACAGCATCGTAGAATTGTTTGAGTTGGAAGAGACCTTTGAAGGCCACCTGGTCCCACTCCCCTGCAATGAACAGGGACACCCACAGCTCCACCAGGTGCTCAGAGCCCTGTCCTCTGACCTTGGGTGTCTGCAGGGATGGGACACCACTGTCTATAGGTATCCTGTGCCAGTGCTCTACTGCTCTTATCATAAAAAAAAAAACAAGAAAAAGCAAAATAACACAACTTATTCCCTTCTATCCAATCTATACTTCCTCTCTTTAGTATGAAACCATTTCCCCTTGTCCTATCACCACAGATCCCACTCAAGAGTCTGTCCCCTTCCTTCTTACATCCCTTGTTTAGATAGTGAAAGGCAGCTCTCAGCTCTCCCCCACAGCTTTCTCTTCCCCAGCTGCACAGCCCCAGCAGTCAGCCTGTCCTCATAGGAAGGTGTTCCATCCCTGGATGTACTTTTGTGGCCCTTCTCTGGAGGCATTTCAGGGGTCAGTGTCTGTAGTGAGAATTTCACATCTGGACACGGTGCTCCAGGTGAGATCACACCAGCACAGAGAAACAGGATCAGCTACCCCGATCTGCAGGCTACGCTGCTTTTGATGTGGTCTTACTACGTAGGATTTTTCCCCAGTGATATTTGAAGCTTGTGCCAGCCCACTCACGCAGCAGAAGGCTGCTCCAAGCTCTTACATGCACATGAGGAGGGTTGAACTCCATGTTGTAGACCCGTCCGCTCGCTGGGTGGATCCATCGGGCGCTCAGGCGGTCCTTCAGCGTCTCGAAGGGGATGTGCAGGCTGATCACCAGGTCCAGCTCACAGATCTTGTCCAGTGCCTCAGCTTGTCCCAGCGTCCGTGGGAAACCTGCGGGCACGTACCACAGCACAGCAGGGTGATTGGAAGAAAAGCACACGGCCTCTTGCTGCAAAGATAGCACAGCTCCTCGCTGCAGTGCACATGGTGCGAAAGAGCCATCCACCAGATGGCTGCTGCAGAAAATAGCTCCTCCAGCACCAGCTCCCAAAATACAACACACAGATCTCTGCAGGCTCGTGTTCTCCTGGGAAGCGGTGCCCAGCGCGAGGACTTTCCCCACCTCTCCAGGCCACCACTAAGCTCAGCAAACACCTGCAGAGCCTCAGAAGACATCCTAGACCTTTCCCCAGTTGAGCATTATTAGCACTGAGCTCGCCTGCACGTCATCAGAGCTAATGAATTAGTCAGCATGAGAAAGAATACATGCGATCTGCTTTACCAAGTCAAGCTGGACTGTTCTTCGTGTTACTGAGTGGACAGCTTGAAATAAGCATGCTCCTTGTCAGAGGTCACTGTGCACAGCAGGAGGCTCCCCAGATCCATGCCCACCACCCATGGCCATGCTTTGCCCTGCAGGCAAACCTGTGTCTGAGTGAATACTGGGATGCAAATGCTCATGAATGCAGAAACAGTAGACTTGTAATACAGAATACTTGCTTGTGCAGTGCTGCTTGCTGTAATATTTGCCAATCACTGTGTTTCCAGTGAACTGAGTAGTGTTACTTAAGAGTAATGAAATGTTATAGTGGAGATTGAGTTTGGGGTGTTTTGCCCACCCACTTTCCTCATTTTGCAACTTACTAGCTAGGAAGCAACCAAAGGAACATCTCAAAGTAAGGAAAGGAGAGTATTAGTAACAAGCTTTTTGGAAGTGTTTCACCAGATTGGCTGCTCCTCCCTGTGTCACACAGGCCTCTGCCCAAAAACCCAGGTAGCTGCACCCCATCAAGTCCCACCATCCTTTCCCCTGCCCCCAAAGCTCTTCTCAGCACTGCCATCAGAGCTGCCTGCTGCACACCTCCCACACACTCTGCTTGGAGCACTTCTCTATCCCAGGTGGCTGTATGGCTTGGGATCACAGCTCGTTCAGTTGCAGATGGAGCTGGGAAGAAGTTTTTCTTGGCCAGCCCCGCTCCGCACGCTGGCCCCAGGGGCTGCTTTATGAAACACCTCTCTCCTTTCCCTTCCCCACACAATGATCTCAACTGCACACACATGTGCTGCTTCTTAGGGCTCAGAGAAGCAACAGCCACAAACCAATTTCTCTCCTTGCTCTGCTGCCAGAACCGGTGAGGACCATTGACCCCAACTGACAGCACCCACACATAGTGAGGCCCAGCTCTTATTTTTAGCTCTGCAGCTTCAAACTGATGGAGTCCCTCCTTAAGCTCTTGATTTACTACAAAAAATAGGCGAACCTCATGCTATCCCTGAGAGCATTGCTTCTGCAGGCAGTTTGGTGCCATCTGCCCCCCCATCTATTGCCAGCAGCACCAGGACAGACACCTTTGGTCTTCTCAAACCCATCAGGAGCAAAGCGAAGCTTTAAGGTGGCCGGCTTTTGCCCACACAGATGCACTCACCATCAAGCAGCCAATGCTCTGCTCGCCGCTTCTCCAGCTCCGTCATCATCACACGCGTGATGACGTGGTCAGGCACCAGAAGGCCTCTCTCAAGGTACTGCTTTGCCAAGCCGCCAACTTCTGTTCAAGTTTAAAAAAAAGAAAGAAATTAGAGCTGCGTGACATTTCTGCATGAAACAATATCGCTCCCCCTCAAATTCTGCTTGCCCTCAGAGATCGCTCACCCTTTCGGCAGCACATTGGGGAACACAGAGCTCCTCTGGAGGTGGGGAATGAGTGGTGAGGGGTAACATGAGCAGGGCTACCTGCCCCAGATGTCACCGAGACACTGCATGGCTGCAGCTCTGCTCAGCAGCCAGCTGCCAGGCCCACCTCCTGCTCTGCACACTGCATATAATAACACACCTTGCTACATGCCCAACGATACAGCTGCAATCACTGTGCCTCAGAGGAGCTTCCCATAAAGTTATGGGGACAAATGATGCTTTTGGGTAATGCTTGTAACGTGACTGAGACAAACCAAGTTTGCCTCCTCCTGCTTTCATGTACGTCGTGAGACACTGCACCATCTTTTATAAACTATCTGAAGGGATGCACATTCCCAGTGTCACATATAAAATGTGACAGTAAACAGGCAGCATCAGAAAGCTCGTCTGACAACCCACGCCTCTGAGCATCTGTTATCACTGCTGAAAGGAGAACATAGCTTTCCATCCACAGGCTTTTAAGACTTCCGAGCCTCAACTCAGGACACATTCAGGTAAGAAAACCTGAGTGTATCCTCCTCCCAGAGCACCTAACAGCATCTGTCACCAAAATGGGATTTGCAGCCCATTTTTTGCAAGTTTTCTACTTGGACAGCACATTTTAGCCCTCTCAGAGCACAGTCCTCTATCTGAAGTACTAATTGCCATGCTGCACCATCACAGAAGGCTTCTGGGGCTGAGCATGGAGGGAGGTGCGGCAGGACAAAGTTCCCTGCAGAATCCTTCTGTCACTGGGACTGTCCTTAGCTGATCTCCCCCTCCAGGAAGGGCCCACCACCCCCTTCTGTCTCAGTCTGGCAACATACAGTCTCAATAGTGGCTCAATAGTGGCTCACTGGTGGCTTTTAGAATGAAGCAGCTGAAAGATGCAAGCTGGCTGAAGGAGAAAGGACTCTCTAAGCTCTGGTTTGCCAGACTACAGCAAGATGTAGAAGCTGGTCGGGCACCAGAGCACAGGCTGAATTTCTGGCACGCAGAAGGGTTTGATGCAAGAAGCACAGCTCCCACAGAGAGCCCATCTCACCTGGAGGACGGAGCCTGGAGCAGCCCGTGCAGCACAGCTCCGGGTGTGTGAGGCTGCAGGGAACCTCCCCAAAACAACACGTGTGGATGAAGCAGGGCACGCAGAGGCTGCCCTTTTGGCAACCTGCCCACAAAACGCTGAGTCACCCGGCTGCAGGAATGAGTCAGCATGGGCACGACGGTGGTCCCCTCCCTCCGCTCCACAAACGTTCTGCAACCAATGCTGCTGAGCAGCTCGTAGCCTCAGTGCATCCCCAGGGCTGCACAAAATACCTTGTTCAACGACAAGCTCTTTGTCGCTGCCCATATGTCACCCTCCTGCTCGGGAAAGCACATGAGGATGAAAAGAATACATTATGTCTTATGCAAACAGCACAGAGACCTGCTAGGGCATAAATATTATTGCATCCACCTACATTTTTTAATATTTATTCATGTGGCCTGCACATTGCCAGAGGACTTGCAGAGCTGTGGCTGGTTGAGGGAGCAGAGCTCAGGCTGTAGCTGCAGGTCCTACTCCTGTCCCATGGACCCACAGGACCAGCTGCTGACGACACACGAGCTGGGAAGTCTGGAAATGCATCTCACACGTCCACCCAAGGCCATAGCTCTGCACCAAAATGCTGTAGTTTTTCCATGACTGCAATACAACCAGACAGCTCTCTGCTGTTCCTGGTGCAGGCAATGCTCCAGTATGCTCAGGGGACACATCAGCAAGGGGGCAATGCACCACCATGAGAGTGCATGCACTGACACGGGGTCAACACACCAGCATAGGGTGGCAATGCTTTCAGACTGCTACTGGAGCCCCTCCATCCCTGCTCAGCCTCCTCCCAAGCTCTCAAGGCATTGCTCATACTGCAGAGCGGGCAGATAGTTCCTGCAAAGGATGCATGGAGCTACACAGTGTTTGGCCCCCAGCACCTGGGATGTGCTGCATCGCATCACCCCTGCAGCGCAACCCTGCTGGGTTGCTTTCATCTCCAATTTTCTCAATCTATCCTATGCATTTCTGTGGTGCAACTGCCCCAGCCCTGAGCCAAGAGGCAGCAGGGTTTGGGCATGCCCACGCATGGATATCCCTGCAGATCCCGATCCCGCTGCGTGATGATCTGGGGTTCATCCTTCCCAAACAAGGGCCAAAATCCACACTGCTATCACTTAATCCTGTTAAGCTAATGACCACAGGTTTAATGCAGGACTTCAGCCCCTGCTGTAACCCTAGTCCATCCGTGCCTTCCAACTCTTATCAGAGCGACATGGCAGGTCCCAGCCTTGTGACACCTCCTGCAAAGGCAGCAGCACCAGCTGAGGGTTGGAGAGGCTGCAAGGGCTCAAGAAGAGGCTGTTCCCAAGCACAAGGTGCAGGAATTTGGCATGGAGCACAAAAGCTTTGCTGGCCAGCAGCCCCTGGCCAGACACTACAAAATAACCTTGGACTTTTGGTCCCTCGGAGCCACCTTTTGCACGATTTCTTGCAGAGGCTCCAGCAGAGCTATCTGGAGTTAACAGAAGGAGAAGCTCCAAGTGGTTAATGCAGCACTGACCGCAGTTATCTGTGCACTAAGCTATAACAACCCTGGCTGGCCAAGGCCAGATATTTCCTCTAATTTTCAGAGCCCCAGTGCTTCTCCCCAGCCCAGGGCTCTCACCCCATCCCTGAAGGCAGGACCCAGCTTTGGGGAACTGGAGCCTGGCACAGCCACACATCTGGGGACATCCAAAAGCAGATGGCCCCTGAAACGATGGCTGCACCAGAGCAGCACAGTGAGCAGGCGAGGGGACAGAGCCAGGCATTGCCTGGAGCACACAGTTTTAGGGCAAATTAACTGGGTCCTGCTGGGACTCCAGGATGCTGCACAGACCAGAAATAAAGCCCTGGGCACTGAGGCTTGAACCGGATGAATAAAACAGTCACCATCCCCCGTCACACCTTGCCTAGCACCAAAAGCACTGTTTCTTCACCAACAACCACAAAAAGCACTTCTGTACAACAGAGCAGCCACTAAGCAAGACACTGATTAACTGGCTTCCTATGAACCATGTCCTGCAGCAGCAAGCACAAAAACCACCTATGATCCTTGCTCTGGACCCCCCCAACAGTCCTTTAGGTGCTGTAATGTGGCTCCTCTGCCCTGAAGTGCAATGTCAGTGACACAGATGATAAACCCAAGGAGAGAATTTACTTCTATTTAGCTTCCTCCGGAGCTGGCACATGGCAGCATGCTCATGTAACAGCTTGTCCAAAGCAAACAGCGGAAAAAAAGCAAATAGCTGCACCTTACTGAGAGCTGTGACCAGAGGTTATGTCAGAGGTGGCACCTGAAAGGACAATCAGCTGTGCCAAGTCGAGGCTGGTTTACTTCTGAGCAGTTTTATCCACGTTTCTCAGTGCTGTCTCCTTTGGGAACCCAAGTTTACTTTGGAAGACTTTGGCTAACTCAGCTCACAGCTCCCTCCTCCTGCAGCATCCCCAGAGCTCTCCTACACAAAGAGCTGCACACAAAACCCAGGGAAGCCTGTGGGTGCACACAGCTCAGCACTGCACACCTGATGCCCACAGGAGCATTCCCCACCCACGGCCGTACTTCCACACCTTGCAAATCCGCCTGGTTTGCCCTCAGGTGTTTTGCAGCCCAGCCAAAAGTTAGCCGGACTTTCTGAATTCTCAGTCTCTTTTCCAAAGGAAATATTTTTGTGCTTTTTATTTATAGAAGGAAATCTGGGTCTTTTTAACTGCGTGACCAGAGGCAGGGTGGTGAGCAACGCCCCGCGGCGCACACAGCTCTCAGCATTCATTCACCCTCCCTTCCCCTCCCTTCTTGTCACACCTCTAAAAAGGGAAAGTGCGCTTATTTCCCCCCCTCCTGTTTTGCATGGATGCCACTCCGCGGCTCTTCTGAGTCAGCTTCCTCCTGGGCAGGTCCCACGCACAGCAGCAGGGCACAGGAGCTGCTGCAAGCTGTTATTGCCCAACTACAGCCACCCCACTGGCTGCTGGCCCCTGAAGTTCGTGGGATCTGATAGCACGGGCACAGCAAATGCTATCAGCTCTCCAAAAGGCTTAAGATGCAAAACACAGGATGGGCTGAGGCTTGCTGTCCCCCACCACTCTCTGACTGTGGAAGTAGTTTAATGAGTGGGAGCACACATGGGCACCTTGCAGCATTTCCCCAGCCCTCCTGCAGTGGATGGCACAGCTGCAGCACCCCGCTTCCCAACGGGATCCTCATGAACACATGCATCCCTTGCACAACTTCAAGCATCTGTCTTCAGTCATATTGCAATGCTCCCATCCCATGGCTTGGTTGGAAGGCACCTTAAAGATCACACAGACTGTGTTTTCAGCCAGAGGGTGGTGAGGCACTGGCACAGGCTGCCCAAGGAGGCTGTGGATGCCCCATCCCTGCAGGCATTCAAGGCCAGGCTGGATGTGGCTCTGGGCAGCCTGGGCTGCTGGTTGCTGACCTGCACTCAGCAGGGGGTTGGAACTGATGAGCGCTGTGCTCCTTTGCAACCCAGGCCATTCTGTGATTCTATGATCATACAGTTCCAATACCAAATTTTGCTCTTGCCAAATCCAACAAACTCAATACTTTTGCGTGGGTTATTCCAGGGGTTGGACTCGATGATCCTCATGGGTCCCTTCCAACTCGGGATACCTTAGGATTCTATTTGCTCCGCTGCCTCCCCAGCTGCGCCCAGAGCTGGGACAGTCACCCCATCGTATCAGTTACCCCGTCAACTCAAGATGCAGAGGGGAGACGATAAACGAAACCCAGCGACGCCACCACCCGCAATCCAGAGGCGGCGGCGGAGCGCGGAGACGCCGCAGCTCAGCGGGACGGACAAAACCCGGACGGTTCCCCCGGTCCCCTCCCGCCCCGTCGGTGCGCACCGACCCCCGGCCACTCACCGCCGCCGCCGCGGAGGCTCTCCCGCAGGAATTGGCCGCTGGAGAGGTGCTGGAGCCCGAAGCTGCGGGCGATCCTCTCGCATACCGTCCCCTTCCCCGAGCCGGGGGGACCCAACACCACCGCCCGCAGCACTTTGGAGGCCATGGCCGCCTACCGAAGCCGGGCGGGGGGTCCCCGCGGGGCGGCACGGCGCCTTACGCGGCGGCAGCGCGGAGCCCCGGAGCCGGGGGAGCCCGCAGCTGCGGGAGGAGGAGGAGGAGGAGAAGCCGCCGCAACGGGGGGCAGGGCCCCGACGGCACCCGCATCCCCCTCACAGCGGAGCGCGGAGGGGCTGCCGGCCGCACCGCGCCGCTCCCCCCTCCCCGCACACGGTACACATCAGCACGGGGGGAGGGCGGGAGGGATGAAAGGAGCGGGGGGGGGTAGGCTGTCCGCCCGCCTGCCCGCCCCCTCGGGCCGCGGCACCCTGGGACTCGTAGTCCCGCCGCCCGACGGGTCCCGCACCGATGGGCGGCGCGGGGGGGCGGAGCGAGGCTCGGAACGAGCGGGACCCCGCGCTGACGGTACGGCCCCCCCCCACCCGCACATGCACGGCGGCACGGGGCACCCGCGCGCGCGTGCGTCTGTGTACGTGCGCGTCCGTGTGTCCGTACGCCCGTGTGTCTGTGCGTCCCCGCGCGTCCCCGCCCCGCCGCCCGCCCCCGCGCCGCTCCGGAAGCGGCCGTCACATGGCCGCGCGGCGCTGCCATCAACACGCCAAGATGGCGGCCCTCACGCCGCCCGCCCGCCCGTGCTGCGTCACGCCGCCCCCGGCCCCGCCGCGCGCCCGCAGGTGGGTCCGGCCCGGCCCCGCCGCCCGGCCCCGAGGGGACAACGCGGGGGAGGGGGAGCCGCCCGTGCGGCGGGGCCGGGCGCGGCGCTCCCGCGTTGCGCACTGTTGTTTTCCGAGCGGCGGTGTTTACGCGGGCGGGGCCTGCCGCGGGGTGCGGCCCGGCGAGGGGCCGGGGGCTCCGGGGGGATTCGGGCGTCCCGCCGCCCGCTCCGGGGCTCGGGAAACGCGCTGTGGAGAACGGCTTCGAGGGAAAGTTGTGAGTTGCCGCGGCTCCTCGCAGGGTCGGGGCTGTGTGCTCGCTGCCTCCTAACTGCTGTTTTCCGCCCTCAGGTTTCCTCGCGGTTTGGCTGAAGTCGGGATGCGGGACGCTTTGGTTCCGTCCCAGCGCACCGCAGCTCAGGTAGAGACCCGCGAGTGGGGAGGGCGGTGTGAGCACACCGAGCTTCGGTGGGGCGCCGCAGGACCCCCAGAGCTGCGAGTGGGGCCCGGGCTGCGGGGCTGTCAGCAGGGAAAGGTGAAACGGCGCTGGGAACGAGCGCCTTTAAAAGCGTATGGAAACGTGAAGCGCTTGAAGAAAATCCGTGGATGAAGACGTGTGCTGGGCTCTGAACTGGTGAGGTTGTTATTTTGAAAGAAGGGAGGGCCCTCTAGATAATGACAGGGAGCTTAGCAGTGTGTTTGTGCACACCTGTTTGCTTCCAGCCTGTGTACGTGCAGCCTGACGGAGGCAATGTGGAGATCGGTGCGTGCTGCCGGCCGGGTTTCTGTTGGAATAAGGGTGAGCTCCTCTCTGGAGCAAATGGCATCGGCAGTGAGCGTTGGTGCAATTGGAGTGGGATGGTCTTTGTGCCGAGGTGCTGGGGAGGAGCAGCTCACCTTTGCTGCCGTGCTTCTCCTCCCTTTGCACAGCATAACAGCAGCTGCTGGAGCATGGGATGAAATCTTGGAGCTGATCAGTTGTACAACAGCAGTTCTTCTCCGATCGCTTTGGCTTCTGAAATGTAGGATCCCTCTTTCTACTTTCTTTCTGTTCAGCTGAAATCGGTAGACTTTTACTGCTGGAATAATAATGGTAACGTGAGAACATTTCAGAGTGAGAACAAATTGTTCGTTTCTTGCTTCCCTTTCAGAAGCCGTGGCTGTAGGTACAGGATTTCATAAGGTTGGTTTTTGAACAAAGTTTTGTTTGTTTTTCCTGCAGCAGCAGATGATGTAATGAATTACAGTGGATGGTAAAGCTGCATGTTTTAGACTATATGTTTAAGTCATCCATTTCATCATCTGACATCAGCATTGCATAATCTGTTGACTGTCCCCTTTTTATGTAATGTATGTTTGTAGTTTGTTTTAAAATGTACAAATATTTTTTTCCACTGCGTGCTTCTGCTCAGCTATTTCATGTTTGTCTCTCCGTTGCCCTCTTCAGTTAGAAACTTGTAAGGCACCATTTTGATAGCTGGGCCCATCCGAGCGCTCCGTCTTTCTCTTTTAGAAACAATCTCCGTGACATCTCTGGATGCCCTTTCCAGGTAAGTGGGCTGGTCACAGTGCTGACCCACATCTGGAGTTTCTGCCCCCACCTGTTTGAAACAGAGGGGCATCTTGTACTGATTAAGTCCGTCAGCATCAGAAAGGTAGCTTTTGTAATATACTAGAAGTAAATTAATTATTAATACAGGTAGACAAAAGTTTAACTTGCCTGCAGTATACCTGTTTATTTCACCATTTTATGTTTGGATCTTACCACCTAAAAACGCCAGCTGCATAGTGAAGCCTCTAGAGACTGTAGGCACCTCTTCTGCCTATTCCAGCTGCAGTCTCAGCACAGCTGGCTGCTTGCCGTTCGGTGCTGCTCCATCAGACCCATCAGCAGGCATAGGAGCAGATATCTGCCATCCCAGCTTTCTGAGCACATGTGACCAGCTCTGATTAAGCCCAGCTGAATGTGTTTGCAGTGCTGTAAAATTCCACCGCCCGCCAGCCTGCTCTGCTGCCTGGGTGAGAGCCCGGCCCGCTCGGTGCAGTATGCAGCGTGGTCACAGTGTGGTGCTGCCCTCGTACTTGTGAGCAGTCCCAGCCCTTAGCTGCTGCACGCTGTGTGGCACCATTAACTCACCTGGCCCTTGGCCAGGTGTACATGCTGTCTAGTTCATGGCATTCAGCACTTGAGTAACAGAAAACAAATGCTGCCTTCAAGCTGCAGTGAATTTAAGGAGGAGAGGGGAATGCCTTCACTCTCTCCAGCTTTATAAAGAGATAAATTAACATTTCTCCCTTCAGTCTAGCATTGGCGAGTTGGATTTTTAAGAGTGATTCAGCCAGAAGTTATCAGGGCTGTTATGGTAGCACTATGATCACGATAATTTCCTGCGCTGAAGCCCCAGATGCAAAGTACTTCTCTTAGATGTTCCTGAGTCTCTCATCTGGAAGCTAGGAAACCCATCAGAGTGATCCGAGGTTCTGAGACTTGCAAGGGATGGGGAATGGAGGAAGCACCTGCTGAGCCTGGCAGCACTGTGGAGGGGCCACGATGACTGACAGGCTGCCCTGGCTCAGTTATCACAGTGCTGATGCTGTCTCTTGTAAAGGTACAGTACTGTGATAACTGAAGGATGGCAGCCATCTGAGCTTCAGAGGCCCTTGTCTGCAGCTGATGGATGGACAGTCAGCACAGCATTCCGCTGAGGTGGGTGTCTTCATTCTAAACATACCCCTGATGTAAAAGTCAAGGTTTACTTGAATAAAGATTACACTTTATTGACAGCTTGCTTCTTAATCAACTGTTTTGGTGTGAGATCTTCCAGAAATGCTACGCTCGAGAAGCTTCAGAAATGGTTCTGAAAGGGTGAGAAATGATTCTGGAAGGGTCCTGTGCAGAGTGGGGAGTACTGGAGTGGGGAGGTGAGAAAATGTGGGTTGTATACTTGGTAGTGGAGGACAGGGGAACTACTCTGTAGATGTACTCAAACTCCTTTTTAGATGCATTTTAATGCTGCTTGTTATAGATAGCATGGTTTTGGCTGACTAGTGCCCTAACTTGCTGTCTGTGCCATCTGTTACGTGGTTGTATGCTCTGGGACAGGGCTCACGTCACAGTCTCTCGTCAGTCCAGGACCGCACGGCTGCAAGCAGCTAGCAGTTGGGTTGTTACAGGCTGGGGTTTCCCTGCCTCGGTGACTGGGACTACAAGTCAGGTAACTTCTGTCATAGTTCCACCTCTAGGAAAGGCTCTGGGGTCCTTGGCAGTGCTGCAGCCCCCCATCCTCACCCTCGGGGCAGCAGAAGCCTGGAGGAGCTGCAGCACTCTGCAGAGCTTGCTGTTTAGTCTTGAACTGGAGTTAGAACCAAGTTCTTTAACCCCGCAGGATTTAGAGAGCTCTTCCTTCAGGGCTGGGTGATTCATAACTGCCCGGGCCTTGCCCTGTACTTCCCTGCCAGGGAGGATGAGGATTGCCTCAGCCCACGGCCACTCAAGCAGCAATTACGTAGTTCATGTTTTCTCTGAGCTCTACTGGAAGGTAGCTCTGCCAGGCCGTGCTGCTGGCTGTCTGTGAGCCAGCAGAGTCAATGCTGTGCCACTGCCATGGAGCATCATGCCAGCCTGCATCGTCTGAGCAGGGAAAATTATTGGTGCCGATAGCTGCTGGAATCTGCTTGTGGAGGAGGGCTCTGTTGTACCAATGCTGTGCAAGCGATAAAAAGACATCCTGCTACCAAGAGTTAAAAGTTCTAGATAGATTAACATCTAAGCAGAGCCAGCCCTCGACTTCCTTTCTGCCTCCTCCCAGAGCCCGAGAGGAGGAACCCCTGGCCCCAAAATGCAGAGCTGGTCACCTCCCCAGCGGCACGATGCCCTCGTTGCTCTTTTATGTCATGCTGCGCTCACTGCAGCGTGCAGCAGCTGGCTGGGGCTGGTCCTCTTCCCTGTGAGAAGCAAGAGGAGTGCCTAGGGGCAGACACAAGTTTTGCTGCCTACCTGGTCTGAGGAATCAGGTTCCCTACCTGCCTTGGGATAGGATTCTGGGGTGATAAGTTACCTGGGCCGTTTAGTGAGACGTTGTAACTGCAGCATGCACCCAGTGTTGGTGAAAGAGAGCAAAGCTGCCAGTTGAAATGACATGCCTCTGGGCTTCAGATTGTGATTCTCATTTCCTGTCAAAATAACTACGGCTTTGAGTTCTGACATGGGACAGGAACTGAAAATGCTGTCTGTGCCTCAAAACAACACCTCTGTGATCAGATTTAATGGGAGCCTTTATCTCTCTCTAGCTTAGCAGACACGGTCCTTCTTTCCTGTAGCTTCCTACTGATATCATAATCGGACAGACATAAATACCCGTGGGTTTGCCATGTCTAAATATTGCTACATGCAAACAGTGCAGCTCTCAAGTCCTTCTTGGCACTGAAACGCTTCCTCCCACTAACTGTTATAGCAAGATGTAAACAACGTGCATATAGTGACGTGTCACACCACTTTCTGCTCAAAATAAGCCCTCTGAAGACAGTCCATTTTCTGATAAAATGTTTCATAATGTACAGTTCTGATCCCAAGGAAAGCCCATTTTCTTGTGACATGTCAGCTGTCGTTCTGAATGGATTTGTTCCACCCCAGTGGTTCTCAGGCTTTTTTAGCAGGAAAGTCCCTGTTCCCATCTGGAGGCTGTCGCTCTCCCACCCACGTTCTGCCTGAGAAGAGCACCAGTTCTGCTCCTGTGATATCTCCTCCAGGCTGTGATTCTGCAGACCAGAACAGCGCCGCTGTCCCTGGCTCTCGTCCATCAGCCATCCTTTTAAGGGGAGAAGCAAGCTGCTACCTGCTTCTCACGGCAGTGGGATGAAAGGCATCCATTGTCTGCTAGCACTGAACCTTGGAACCAGGTGGAGCTTTGCTTTTCCCATTTTTTTTTACAGATCTTCATTTGTTACTGTGACTTCTCTTAACATCCAGTGGGAAGCATCAGTACCAAAAGATTTTGTTTTGTTTATACTAAGAAAAGAATCCTTCCCAACAAAGTTTCAAGCACGCTGTTGTTGTTCCAAAGTTCAGCAGTATCACCTACAAATCAGACACTGTTCTAGTTACTGTTCATTCAGACTGCCTCTGAGTAGTGCAGACCGACTCCACTTGAACTTTAACCCAGGCCTTCTTGATGAAACATTTTCTAAATCAAGTAGCCTAATGATAATGTCTTGGTAACTGCAAGTCTCAGATGTACTGGAGTGTAACGATGACAAACCTGGTTTTGGGTCAGGTCAAGCAGTTTCTGAATGTGAGCTTAGAAATGTTGGGCAAAGCAGAATAAATAAAACAAGCTGGTGAAGATTCTGGTGAAGTCTACTGGCTTGATGGGGAAATGTGACGAGCTCAGCCCTGCTGCGTTGTTTTTCTTCAGATCTACAGCATCATCTCAGCGTAGCACCTCCATCGCATTCTCTGCCCAGCTCAACAGTGACAATATTTTCACTTTCTAGCACAAAATGGGATCGATGTGTTTGAGCTGTATTCCACTGCAGCTGTTGCCAACAGAGCGCTGTCATTACCTTCTTGTGTCTGTTGCCAGGTGAGGGGGGGCCTTTTCCACTTGGAGCAAACACACGCAGTAACAGTGACAGCAATGATGTGTGCCTCTGAGTGGGAAAACAAGTCCCCAGGTGCACTGTGTGACCATTTTTGGGGGTTGGACCCAATGATCTCTGGATGTCCCTTCCTACTTCTGTGATTCTGTGATTTTCTCCCTTCTACACACAATATTTCTGCCTCTGGATGTTACCTTCCTCATGCTAAAACCGTGTGTGTGTGGTGGGGAGGAATTCAGGTGCAGCTGAACGTTTTTGAGCTGAAACAAACCCTGGGTTTTTGACAGTATCGTGATTCACAAAGGGAAACAGTGACTTTGATAGATGTCAGATTGGGGACAGAACTCCGCAACAGGAACTGAGTGTTTCAGTGTGGTGTAATGTCAAAGTTACTGCTATCGGTTGTGTGCAGGCAGATGATAAAGTCCACACTGGGTGACTTGGTATCTAACTTGCTCTTCGTTATTCTCAAGAATAGGAGAGGGCCATGGAGGAATGTGAATGAATGTACTCTGATGCAAGGTCATACAACTGTATTGTGCTAATGTTACATTTTCTGGGACCAAACCCTGCTGGAGCCACAGGTGAGACCTTCTTTGACTCCAGCTTTGGCTCAGACACGCTTTTCTTCAGATAATGAGTAAAATTCTGGTTCTGATCTCCATTTCCCCATTGACTTCAAGAGGATGAGGGCAGCACTTGGTTTTTTTTTAAGCTACGCGGGGATGTTCATCTGATAGTGGGAAAAGCCTCATTCAACTGCAGCAGAAATTAGGTAAACGAGAGCTGTGACTTCTGGGTATGACCTGGAGGTGGGCATGGTAGAAGGCCTCTTTCTGCCTAAATCCCTCGAGCAACCTCCAAACTTAGAGATGTATGTGTTGGCACTGTAAGTTTCAACTTCTGAGCTAAAACAGCCCCTCCGTGGTACCTCTGGCAGTGGCTGGTGGGTATGTTGCTCCTGACTCCAGGCAAAAACACCTGGCTGTTGAGTGCTTGTGTGTGCCTTGGGAGGGACGGAGAAGGCAGGTGGTTATCAGTGGCCCCACAGCTGCTGTTAGATTTCCCCCCATGGTGAGGCAGAGCTCGCTATTGACCAACCTCCATTTTCATTAACTCCAGAAGCTGGCAGAGTACACTGAATAATTCAAGAGAGACATGTTTAAACATTTGCACAAGCCTCAGATTCCTCCTGGCTAAAAATAAGCCTGTGAGAAAGAAAACGATTCTCATTCGAGGTGCCAGCAGATGGGCAGCAGAGGCACAGACCCCATCCCAACACCATCATGTCGCTGCTCCCAGGGGAACATTGGCCGTAGGGCTTATCCACACTGCTGGGGCCAGGCTGAAGGTGGTGCAAAGCAAAGATACGAACTCACAGATGCCCTTTGAGATCAGCATTTTGGAGCACCCGAGCAGAAGTGATTCTTCCACAGGGAGAGATCTGTGCCTTTCCCACCGTAGCTGAGCACCAATGGGCACAGCCAGCGTGCCAGGCTCCGTTCTGATGTTCTACTGAGTGCCTGAGATTGCTTGCCAGTTTGGTGCACTTCATGTATAAAATATATTGGCTTTGTGTCCCCAGGGTGATGAAAAATGTACTGAGTTCTTTTTGGAAAAACTTCCATGGTGTGCAGAACGACAGCTTCTCAGGGCAGCCTGTGATGCTGCCCCACCAGCAGCCAAAGCCTTGCTGCATTCTGGGGTTAAATGCAGTGCTCCAGGGGACTCTCGAAATTAAAGCCCCCAGAGGTTATTGTTAATAAAACCTAATTAAATTTGAATGTAAATGTAGCATGCTGTTGCATTTGCATCTGGCTTTTGATGGTTTACGTGTGTATGTATGTGAATTATAAAAGCAAGCATACTTGTAAGCATGCAAACAAGCATCTGTGCATGAACAGGTGCTTCTGAACTCTGGTGGTGTGGCTGCAGTGTGCCAGCACCTAACTCATGGAATCACAGCATGGCCTGGGTTGCAAAGCAGCACAACGCTCATCAGTTCCAACCCCTGCTGTGTGCAGGTCACCAACCAGCAGCCCAGGCTGCCCAGAGCCACATCCAGCCTGGCCTTGGATGCCTGCAGGGATGGGGATCCACAGCCTCCTTGGGCAGCCTGTGCCAGTGCCTCACCACCCTTAGCATGAAAATCATCCCTTTGGAGATGGCCATGCTGGGACATCGAGATGTGAAGGAATCTCTCCTCCCCAAACTGAGACACTTAGAAACCCTAGTTAGCTTGATAAATAACAAAAAAGAAGGAGGCTGAGGACAACACTTAGAAGTTGTTAATGATGAAGAAACAATTCACACGTTCCATTTGTCTCAAAACAAATTCTCTCTTGTTTTCCAAGCAGAGACAAGTGCTCTGTAAGCAGCGTCGCAGTCACTTTTTTGCTCGTGTTATGTGAGCGCAGGAAGTTTCAGATAAATTCAGCAGCAGATCAGATGAAAGGACTCATGCACTCATGTATCTGTTTACACAGCCCCCATGGCAAGTCGCAGCCCATTGCTGCAGTGCTGGGGGCCCTCATATCTTCAAGGTATTGCACAGCCATGCTGGGTGGCACTTTATGGGAAGCTTTGCAGGCAGGATGTATTTCTTTTGGGAAAAAAAAAAAAAAAAAATTATTTTTAAAGTAAATTTTCATTTGAGCAGCACTAAACATAGCCTGATGCTCTGCAGAAGCACGCAGGAGCATGGGTGATAAGTGCTGGAATACTTTGCAGTACAGGTGCAATGTAAGCAGCCCATTTTCCACCCTGCACAGCTCCTGTGGCTTCACGGCCTCCTCCTGATGTTCGCCAGCACACAGGAGAAGAAACAGCCCTGGAAATACTGCTGAGAAACAGGCTGCTGACAGACTGAGACCACTGAGGTGGTGTTAAATCACGTTTATGTAAAGGTCCAGGCCATTCCATGCTGACGGCATCTGTGATTTAAAGCACTTTACCGTACGCAGGGCCACTTGCTGTAGTCTGAAATGTCACGAAAGCAAAAGGAAGAAAAGCTTTTAAAACGTTGATGCTGTTTGAGATCATGTGAAAACATCACCTTTTCTAAAGAAAAATGATGGCAAGGTGAAGTTTGACTTCTGAAAACTTGAAAATTGAACTGCATAACAAGCAAGCGAAGGGAAAATTTCTATGTAGCTGCCTGCCCTCTTCTGTTAGAAATAATTTGTTTGAATTTCATTTCATTTTTAATTCACAAATACCAAGAAAGAGCAGCCCTGTTGTCTGTATATTACTGTAATTTTTTTTTTCTTGGAGGACGTCAGTGCTTCCTGGAAACTGCAAAATAAAGCAATAAGGGAGGTAATTAGTGATTCTTCTGACCTGTCACTCCAACCCAGCGCAGTCCTTACGGGGTGAGGGAAAATTGCTTTGCTTCAAAGGCCTTTTCTGCAGCTCTCTGCAAGCTTGTTCTCCTTATAGACGCGAAAGCTACAAATGTATCTGATTGCTTCCACAAAGAAAACGACTTGAAAAGTTTTAATACAAAATTACATCATTCTCATAGGATGGGGTGTTGTGGTGAACGCAGGCTGGAGGGTTGGAGCATTTAGCCTGCTTTCCCAAGGAAATAGGTTTCTGAAACTGCTGTTGGTCGGTCAGTCTGTCTGTCCTCACTGATGACTTTTGAACATGACAGTTACTTCCAGTCAGCTTAGCAGTGAGACAGAGGTGTTGAAATACTAAATTCCTGAAGATTTTTGTGAAGTTGATAGCTGGAAAAGCAGAGAGATGGAAATCGGTGCTGCTCCATGTGGAAGATGGGCAGCACTGTTGTTGCGTTTGGAGGTGGCTGGAAACCCTGCTGTTATTAACATAATTTTGGATTAATTTCTAGAAGCACGTTGATTTCACCACAATTAGGACATCACAGAACAGTCAGTAGAAATCAGAAGTCAACACTGTCTTGAAACTAAGGAGAAAAAGCGAAAAGCTCACGTTGCAGGCAGGGATTAAAGACACGATTTCTCCAAGGCTCCAAGTGCCAAAGGACCCCAGCTCCGTGTGTTAAATGCAGCTGTGTGAGCACACAAGAATTAAATTCTCACTGAAGGATTCATCCCTGGGCACGGGCTCAGGCTTTGGGTGCTCATTCAGACAGTGGCAGAAGTAAAGCTGCTGCCTGAGCTGTGGCCACTAAAAGCAGCCCCAGACTAAGCCCCTTATGCAATCCTTCCGTCACAGCCACCTCCTCAGCTTGGGTTTGGTTTGTAGCTCTGAGCTGGATTTAAGGACATTTGCAGCATCAACAACTGTGCTAGAAAACGAGTCCTGAACGTGGAGCATAACTAATACTGATCTGGTATGGAAACCCACCATAAGAAACTGGTCATGGAAGGCAAAGCAGTGGGAGCGCAGCCCCAGGGAGCAGAACAGGAGAGCAAGGGAAGGTGGGGCTTTCTGAGAGCGCGGCACAGCTGCAGAAGCTGCCAATCGCGGTCACAGATTTGCTCTCTCTCCCTCCAACCTCAGCAAAATGGGTGAGACTGACACTTTGTGCAGAGCGCTGCTAATGGAGAACCAGTGATGCACCATGGCAGGGGAAGGTGAACGCCCTGCGATGTAATCCAAACTGCTTCCCTGGCAGCTCTGAAAGCAGGGCTGCGGAATGACCAGCTTGATTCCTCTGTGAAAGGGGAAAACAATGAACGATTATCTATCTGTAGTTTGTAAACTACAACCACACGGATGCACGGTTGTGTCGTCACGTGCAATCAGCCCCCCCACCTGGCTCCGGGGTGGGAGATTAGCAAGGAGATAAGGCTGGAGGATCGGGACAGCCCAAGTGTGAGGCAGGCAGGCAGGGAGCAATGTGTGTCTGTCTGAACAGCCCGCAGCAGCCGGGCATTGCACACCCACGTGCTGCGGGTGCATGAGAAGACTTTGACAAAAAGATGCTATCAGCTTGCTCTGATTAAACTGACGTGAATTACATGGAACTGCCATTGTGTCAGAAGATGTCACATTTACCAGGGCTAGCTTCTTTTATTTTTTTAATGAATGATTTGTCTATTAGGACCATCCTCCCAAAGTGCAGCAGTGGATTGGTTCTTTTCCCAGAAGGTAATGCCAATGCGTGCACATGGCAAGGGGGAATGGTTCTCTTACTGACATGACTTCCATGCGTACCATTTGCTGTGAGTTTGAGGGTCTGAAACCACAACGAAGAAACCCATTTATTTTCTGTGCACGGGGGAGAAAGGTGGAGACAGGACAAGGGGAAACGGCCAGAAACTGCAGCATAGGAAGTTCCACACCAATGTGCGCAAGAACTTCTTTACAGTGAGGTGAGGAGCACTGGAACAGGCTGCCCAGGGAGGTGGTGGAGTCTCCTTCTCTGGAGATGTTCAAGACCTGCCTGGATGCCGACCTGTGCGACCTGCTGTAGGGAACTGCTTTGGCAGGGGGTTGGACTCGATGAGCTCTGGAGGTCCCTTCCAACCCCTACAATTCTGTGATGCTGTGTGCAAACACCAAAGCACCGTGTCTGCATGTCTGTGCAGAGATAGGATGGGTTTTAGAGCTCACACACACGTGGATCCTGCGCCATAACTGGGAGATACGGAGCTCCAAGAGTGCAGGCAGGCTCTGCTTTGGGCTTTTCAGTTGGGATTAGAGAAGAAACACGCAAAGCTGAGATGGAAGCCAGCACACCCTAAGGCCGAGCAGTGACAAACGGGTTGCCTATTAGGAGAAATGTCTTCTCCAGAGCGCGGTGAGACACCGGCACAGCACGACCAGAGCGCTGGGGGGGTTGGATCACCATCCCTGGGGGTGTTCCAGAGCTGTGCGGATGTGGCGCTGAGAGGCGCGGGCAGTGGGCGCTGGGATGTTTGCTGGGGTTGGGCTCGGGCCGCTCGGAGGGCTTCTCCAATCTCAATGACTCCGAGCTTCTGTAACTAAACTCAAGCCAACACGCAGCCCCACCGGCTGCCCCGTGCCGCACGGCAGCCCCATCCCGGCCCCCGTGGGCAGCAAATGGCGGCGCGCGGCCGCATCCCCCCGCCTCCGGCCCTGCTGTGGGAGGCGGGCGCAGCCACGCGCCGCCCCCGGGCGGGCTCAGCCCGGCGCATGCTCCGCGGGCGGTCCTCCGCCGCCGTGCCGGACCGCCGCCCTGCCGCTGCCGAGCTCTGCGGGCTCCGCTCTCGCTGACCCCGGGCCGCGCCGTCCCTCGGCCCTTTGGGGCGAGCGGCTGAGGGGTACGGCCGCCCGAGGTGTGACGGCAAGCGGTGAGTAGAGCCGGAGGGGGATCCGCGGGCCTCGCGTGGAGGAGGGGGTGGTGGTGGTGGTGGTGGTGCTGGTGGTGGAGGGGCGGCGCGGCGGCGGCTTTTCCCCCGTGGGGGTGCCGGGAGATGGCGGCCGGCGGAGGGGCGGCGCGGGGATCCCCTGGAACACCTTCAGGGCCGCCGGGCAGAAGGGGGCGGCCGGGGAGGAGGAGGAGGAGGAGGAGAGGGGCGGCGGTGGGCCCCGCTGGGTTCGGCCCCGCTGCGCGAGCTGCGTTGGAGCGGTGGAGGAAGTGGGGCGGTGTTGGGAGAGGAGCGGATGGGGTGAACTCGGCGCCGGGGCTGAGCGCTGAGTCAAGCTGAAAAAGCCGGGCGCTCCTCCTGCTCGGATCCCCCCGAGCTCATGGCGGGACTCGGAGCGGAGTTCCCCGCAGATATCCCTGCGTTATCTTCTGTGCGAGCTCAGGGCTTGGGCCGGCAGATCCGGCCCGGCTCTCGGTCTGGCTCCCGTGCCGGAGATAGAGGCGCTTCTTGGACGTCTGTCAAACCCCTCCCCGCGGTGCTGCTTCCCCGCCGTCCCGCTGTGTGTCTGTGCGGTTCGGGCCGTCCCGTCGAGTTTGGGATCGTAAAAAGACCTGTGGGGAGCTCTTATACAGGGAGAACCGGGAAACAAGGATCCGAATGCCAACCCCACCGCTGGGCCGTTCGTGTTGGTAGCAGGACCGCATGGTGGTGGCAGGAGAGGCCGGGCCCAGCTTTGCTGAAATAAACCTCGTGTCCCTGCTGCAAATAAGGCTCTGGGTGATGTGGGGAGCAGGGCTCTGCCTGGGGGCTGGAGCCCGTTGTGTGCGGGAGGCTGGGAGTCCTCCCAACTTGCATCAGTGCTTATATTTAACTCCAGTCGGCCCGTTTAACTCTTGCTGGGAGGCGATGCTCAGAGGTGTCCTGGAGCAAAATGCGTGCTTGTTGGTGCTTCTTTGGTCAGCAGAGCAGGAGAGAGCTGCTGGGCTCTGTTTTGCCCTTATATGAGGAGCGATAGGCGTTTCCTTCTGCCACTTGTTTTTAAAAAGTGCAGGAAGTTGCACCTTGATCTGAGTCTGTGCTAGGTGACACTGTGGATGTCAAAGCACAGGTGCTTTAAAACAGTGGGCTAAGGGCAAGTTCTTTACAGAGAGAGCAGTGAAGTGCTGGAACAGCTGCCCAGAGAGGCTGTGATGCCCCGTCCATCCCTGGAGGTGTTCAAGGCCAGGTTGGAAGGAGCCTTGGGCAGCCCGGGCTGCTGTGAAATGGGGAGGTTGGTGGCCCTGCATGTGGCGGGGGGTTGGGGATCCATGATCCTTGAGGCCTCTTCCAACCCTGGCCATTTTGTGTGATTCTGTGAGGGCATAATGCTCTGAGCAACCAGCAGGTTGGAGCAGGCCCATGCTGGAGTGTCTGGTGCTAAAAGCGAGCAAACACAGGCAGATTTTATGCTTTTCTAAATATATTTGCAGCGATTTGGTTCTGTTTGAATATCTCGCTTGTCTACGTGTCTGCAGGCTGTTTGCCTCATAGCCCAGTGGAACAGAGCACATACTGTGCTTGTGCAGAGCAAAGCTGCAAGAGTTTGACCTTTGGGAATGGTTAGGTGAAAAGCTTGTAAAAAATCAGAGTGATTGGGTCTGGATTTGCTCTAGAATATAAACATGGAGCTGGAATTAATCTGAGCTTGTTAACTTCTGGGAGTCTCTGCTCTGTGAAAATCATTTGAACTGGCATTTTTGGGAAGCAGATTGTGTGAATCTAGAACTGTTTGGGAATGTGCTCTTTCTGCATGTCCACATTGACTGATCTGCTATGTGAATTTAGGAAAAATGAGAAGCAAAACCTAGAGAGAACAGCTGATACAAATCTTTGGAAAGCAACCTACACCAGTTGCAGAGCAAAAGGTGAGCTGTACCTGAGTGCTCAGTGGTAAAACCAGCATTCCTTTTCACCTCATTTTTTTTCTTAAGAGTCCACAGTTTAAAATTAATTTAACTCTACCTCATGTCTGGAGGGACTGGAGGTAATCCAGGCCTCTTGGCTGGAGGAGTAAGCGCTA